AATAAATATATGAAAAAATGTTCAACATCACTGGTCATTCAAGAGATGCAGATGAAAACAACACTGAGATTCCACCTCACCCCCGAAAGAATGGCTGCTATCAAGAAATCAACCAATAACATGCTGGCAGGGGTGTGAGGAGAAAGGAACCTTTCTCCACTTTTGGTGGGAGTGCAGACTGGTGCAACCACTGTGGAGATCAGTATGGAGATACCTCAAAGAACTAGGACTAGAGGTCCCATTTAACCCAGCTATTCCTCTGCTGGCTATCTTCCCAAAAGAATTAAAAGAATCATACCACAGCGATACGTGTGCACCCATGTTTATAAGGGTACAGTTTGTAATAGCTGAAGCTTAGAAACAGCCCAAGTGCCCATCAACTGGAAACTGGATAAAGAAGATGTGGGTTTATTTATAAAATGGAGTACTGCTCCATAAAAGCCATAAAGAACAAGAAACTAGAGACATTTATAGCTAAATGGATGGATATTGAGGCCATCCTCTTAAGTGAAATAAATGGGACACACATGTGTAAATACCGAATAGTTTCTCTAGTGTGAGAAAGTGAAAGTGTAAATAAGGATTAAAATGATTAAAATGAATAATTGATAATTTGAAATAGGAAGAAAAGGTCAAAAAGGGTAGGGGAAGTGAGAGGGGAAGGGGAAAGGAAAGAAGGGAAAGGAAAAATTATGATAAAAGGAAAAATGGAAACAAAGTCTGTAAATAGGGAAGGGTGGAGGTGGTGAAGGGAGGACAGGGAATAGGGAAAAAATAAGAACCAAGATACATCACGTACAGGTACAAGGACCCAATGATAAATGTAAACGTATCGTAAACCTAAACTGTACCAATAAAAGAACTTAAGCAAAAAAAAACAAAAAAAAACGATTAAAGAACCTAATGTATGTATATGTTTTCTTTCATTATGGCTAGCACATTTAATTATATTTTGTCCAGGGTTAAGACCCTAGAGGGTGTAGTTATTAAATCAATCAAACACACATGGATTTTATAACTAAATTTATATTGAATATAAAAATATTCCATTTGCTGCCTTTCCATAATTATCTTCCTGTGGCTTTGATAAAAAGATCGTGGAAGACACAACACCCATTCTGTGTCATAATAATTTAAGATCCATGAAAAGAATAGTGAAGGAAGAGAGAGAAAGAAGGAAAATTCATTTGTTGCTAGCTGACGTGTGCCAGGTGCATAGGCGCATAGGCACTAGGCATTCTTGCATTTAGTATCACATTTGATCCACACGACTACCCTATGAAATATTATTCCCAGATTACAAAGGAAACAGGTCATTAAGAAGTCAAGTAATTTGTCTACAGACGTGAATTTAAATTCAAAGCTTAAACTTTTTCCATTACACCTGAACGCATCCTTTTCCAGATTTTTTTTCTGGGCCCAGAATAAAATGAGGTTGAAAGTTATTTATGTAAAACACGTAATACTATATGTGTATACATACTCCTTCTATCCATACAGATTCACATTTACGGTGATAAATACACGTCAATAATCCTAGATTTAGAACCAGGACATGAATTCGAGTCTGTCTCGTATTTTATATCTAGCTTTCCTCAGTAGAAAATAGGGAATATTACTGCCCTTTTTCTACTCCAGAGGAGTGATGTGACAATCAGGGAGCTAAGATTAGCAGTCATAACAAGAGTAAACTACAATTCCCAATACGCCCCACGGAAGAGGCTGAGGCCACTCTGAGAGACACTTCCAACTTCGGGGCAAAGGGTGACACCGTTGAGTCCCGCGGCGAAGAAGCGAGCAGTCTGTCCTCGCCTCCTTTCTTATGCATCCAGGGATACGTAGTTCCCTCCTGGCCCAGGCGTGCTCTCAAGGCAGGTATCTTACTACAAGTCCCGTGACGACCCGGAGTCCGGGCAGCGCCAGCGTGTTGAAGCCGAGGGAGCGTGCGGGCGGTGCTTGTGGCGGGAGGACTAAAGATGGCGGTGCGGAGGTCTCCGCCTTCTGCTCCCTGCTGAAGCGCTCTGAGAGAGGCGGCAGCGGCAACCCAAGCCGCCCTAGTAGTCTAGTGGTGGTAGTTTCAGCAGCAACTAACTGCAGGGGACCAGAACCATGGCGGAGCTGGAGCACCTGGGCGGGAAGCGGGCAGAGTCGGCGCGAATGCGGCGGGCTGAGCAGCTGCGGCGCTGGCGAGGCTCACTGACAGAGCAGGAGCCGGCGGAGCGACGAGGCGCCGGGCGACAGACGCAGACGAGGCGTGGGAGCCCCAGGGTCCGCTTCGAGGATGGCGCTGTCTTTCTGGCCGCCTGTTCCAGCGGGGACACGGAGGAGGTGAAAAAGCTTCTAGCCAGAGGGGCGGACATCAACACGGTCAACGTGGACGGCTTGACAGCCCTGCACCAGGTAACTCCCTTTTCGGTCTTAGAGGCGTCCAGACTCCTACAGATGAGCCTGTGACCTGCGATCCTCCTGGCAGAGGGTATTAGTGTCACCGACGAGCCCTCTTGCATAGACACAGCCCCTTTGGTCAAACTCGCTTTCATTCTTGGACACCTTCCTCCACTAAGCAAGTTTTTTCCCACTCCAGGGTCTCTCCCTGAAAGAATAGTGTCACCTCATGCCTGGTCAGTGTTTGTATTTCCCTCCACCTACTCGAGTTGTCATGGTTACTGATGATTTGGTCCCGGGTGTTATCCCTATAGATTAGTCGTCTTCACTTAAAGAGTAAAGCTCTATATAATGGGTTAAGGCAAGCGAATCTTCTGAAACTACACCTTTTGTTTTGCTGATTTGCAGTGCTTCCAAAACAGTTTTTAAATTCTTCAGGCTACAGCTCTTAGAACACCCTTGACCTCATTGTTGTAGGTCTTATTTTCTTCCCAGCAATGCTGCCTCCCTCAGGGTTTCCTATGGAGAACCAAGCTATTGAATCACTTCTGTCTGATACTTGTGGAATAGCCTTTTTTTTTTTTTTTTTAAGTCCCCTAGAGAAAGGATTATATATAGCTATAGTATATAGATTGTGGATGATCTGGTAGTTCCGTGCTTGGTGGTATCATCTTTGTTTCTTTCACTTATGCAACTGTATTCTGTCTATACTGACTCATAACTAACTCCATCCTTGCTTCCCCATTAAACTTCATCAGTTCTTTTGCTTTTGCTTTTCGTGCAAAGTGGATTGTGTTCATGAGAATCCACTTCTAAGTATTAATTCAACTTTGTGTTAAGCCACTTCCCTAAAAACATTTAGCCAGTAGCTTAAAATGCTCCTCACCATGTTTGCATCCCTTCTCTTTCAGGTGAAAGAAACTTCTCCTCTTTCCCCCTTATTTTTATCCATTTTTTTCTGCTCATAACGGTGCTTTGCTGAAGGTAGCAACCAATATTTATTTAGTGCTTTGTTGTTTAAGAATAATTTTATGTTTATTACTTTTATGTCTCTGTACTGATCTTCTGAAGTAGATGTGGTAGGTAATGTTTTTAATTCCCATTTTACAGTTGAGGACACTGAAGCTCAGAAAAATTGTTACTTGTGCAAAGTTAGGAGAGAAATTGCCTGTAAAGTATGTGTCTTTCAGTTGTAGTGTTCTATATCCCATTGAATAAGGAGCTGAATATAAAATAAGATAGAGGCTAAGAGAACCACATTAAATTAAAATTACTCTTTTACAGTGCTGAGGAGTGATCCCAGGGGCACTCTACCACTGAGCTACACTTCTACCCCTTTTTTAATTTGTAAATTTATATTGAGACAGGGTCTTGCTAAGTTTTGCTGGGTGGCCTCAAATTTGTGATCCTCTTGTCTCAGCCTGCTGAGTAGCTGGGATACAGTCATGTGCCACTGGGCCTGGCATGTTAAATTTTAATTAAACTTTAAATTTCTGAACTCCGTGGCAGGTGAATTTCTATTGTTCAGATATATCCAGGATAGAAAGGCGATTGAGATTTGAATTCTGGAAATCATTTTATGGGTTCATAGAAGATAGAGAAATGTAATCCATTTTTCTAGTCTCTGTATCTTTTTTCTGGAATCACTATTGTGTGAAAGTATTGCTTTCTTAGTGTAACTCAGTAGTCTTGTTCCTTTTAGAGTGACTCTGCTAGTTAAGTCTGGTTCTTTCATACACATTTTAGAGTTGGAAAAACATTCTTTGAGGTACTCATGGTAGGTCTCCTTCCTATTTAAGGTAACTCCTTTTCTGAGCCCTTTTTCGTGTTTAATATTCTCTTGGAATAGGATGAAGGGAAGGGGCTGCCAGCTATGATTTTTTTTAACCATCTACAAATATGATAGTGGCTTTCCTTCACATTGACAGGGCTGGCAATGAGTTGAATAGGTATATTCAATACTAGACAAATGTAGCCAAAGATTAAGTTGCTCAAAGATTGGAGGTCAAAACAGCCTTCTGTTGAAAACCCCTCTCTTTGAATAAAGACAAGGGGCCTTTATTGGTTTAGGAACTCTTCTACAAATCCAAAGAGTTACAATGTGTTTTTCCGTAATTTGAAGAACTTTTAAGTACGTAACAGATTATTTTCATAATGTAAAACTGGAGCTGCCAATAGCTGATTGCCTATATTACTGATTCGGCCTCTGTGAAGTGAGGAGTGAATGGTACAAATATCTGAATTATTTGGGTAAAGTTTTTGTCTCTTATATAAGCATGATATACATTATCTGGATGATTGCTGCCTTTTTCTCCTTTGTTTTAGCCATGACCAACTGTGGTTTATCATCTTGGCATATTGAAAGATACACCCATGTCATATTGGGGGACAATTTTCTCCTTGTCCCACAAGGTCGCAGTAGCCAATTTGCACTAAAGATCTTAGTGCCTTCATGCTACCTCTCTCTCAGAGACCTTTCTTTCTTGGCAGCTTTTGCTGAGACCATGAGGTGCTTGAGTGAAAGATAACAAGCTCCAGGAGACCTATTAATAATACTTGAAAGAGACTAGGATAAGAACTATCTGAAGAGTTAGTAGAATAACTACATTTTGGTGAATATATGCATTTAGTGGCCTAGAATCCTCAGTGAAGAAGGGGTTAATCTGATTATATAAGCCTGGGAAGCACGTGTTTCCTCACAAAGACATTTCCATTTTATTTGTGTATATACATTATAAGGAAGGAATGTGCATGTTAATAATTTGACATGATACTTTTAAAATTTATTTAGTAAAGTTAGCTTATTATTACTTATCTTGGTATCCTTAGCAATATGGTCTTTTACTGAAATTCTCTACCAAATTATTGGGTTATTTTTTAAGAGGCAAGAGCCTGTTTTCAGAAGGCAGAGTTTCTAGAATACAGTAAAATGAATGCCCATACATTCTTATAGCAAATTATTATTTGGGACTTATATCTGTGCTAGGTGCAGTGAGGGGTGCTGGTGTCAGTCAGTCTCTTCTGTAGTCCAGGCTGATCATCTTCATTTAGAGGGATACCAAGGAGATCAGAGTAATTACATACTCGACTCAGAAAGTACAGTTGGCCTTGTAATGGTCTCAGGATCCAAGTTTGGACACTCAGGGTCACCCCAGACTGGAAATCAGTGTGTAATACCTTCATCATTCTGGAGCTGCCTCAGTCTGACCCTGCACCCTCAGGAAGGTTAAAATTACATATATCTCCAGAAGGTAGGTAGAGATGGATGCAGATGAGGAGGGCAGGATAGGTGACCAATTTATATTCAGTGAGACAAAAGAAAACTAAGATGACATGTGTAGTTCAATATAAAGTAGTTTGTTATAGGTGCTAACTTATGTAGTAAAATAGAACTTCAATTCTTTTCTCTTTGATTCCAACTTCATTACTTATGCCTCTCATATTCTGTGAAGTGACTTCTGTTTTACCCTAAGTATTGGTTTATTCTGCTTAGTGTCAGGACCTGTGGCAGTAAGGGATTCAGAAAATCCTGTTGGATCCTTAATTATTGTGCATCTAGAACATTTATCCATCCCATTCATTCTAGTAACTTATTTCCTCAAATTGGTTAATAGGATGCATCAAACTATGTTGGGCACCTGGCTCATTTGCTGTGTGTGTATTAGTCCCAAGTTTCTATCCCATAGCAGACCTCAAAGCTGGATTTAGATGTTAGGGTTTTTTTGAGGGGGGAGGGGGAAGTACAGATGCAAGTGACTTTCATTCATTCCCTAGCCAAATTTTTCTTCCTTTTTCTTAAAGTCTTGTGAATAGCCATATACTGGCATTCAAGCATTTAGAATCTTCTCAGTGAATATTTAAAAATAGATAGACTGTCAGTGTATATAGATTAAGCACGACTCCACTGAAAGTAAGGAGGTGAATGGGTCTGGTTGATAAAATTATTTATTTTCGTTTTTAAGCGTTTAATTTTATCATTATTACTATTATATTTGTGGTACTGGAGATTGAACTCAGGCCTTTGCACTAAACTATATCTCACCCCCTTTTTATTTTTTATTTTGAGACAAGGTCTCATTAAGTCTTAAGTTGCCCAGGCTGGAATCGAACGGGTGATCCTCCTGTCTCAGCCTCCCAGAGTGCTAGGATTACAGGCATGTACTACCACACTTGGCTAAATATTTCAAAATTATGGTATACTTTGCATATGGTAAAATTCATCTTTTTATTATAAAGTTCCATGAATTTTAACACATGTGTACAGGTGTGTCACCTCCACCACAGTCAACATATACATTACCATTGCTCTTTGTGCTGTTCTGTATACAAGCCCTTCTCTTACCCCAAGTGTGTGGCAGGTACTCCTCAATTCTCTGTCCCTGTAATCACAGTGCTGTATAGGTAGAATCATAAAGTATGAAGCATTTTGAATCTGGCTGCTTTCATTTACCATGGTGTATTGAGATTCACCTGGGTTGTTGCAAGTGTCTCTATTTCTTTAGTCTTCATTGTTTTGTTTTGTTTTGTTTTGGTACTGGGGATCAAACTCGGGACCTTGAGCTTGCAAGGCAGGCTCCAGAACCACCGAGCTAAATCCCTGGCCCTAGTCTTCGTTGTTAAGTGTTATCATTCTATCATATGAATGTACCACAGTTTTATCCATTCACTTGTTGAAGCACATTGAGATTATTTCCAACTTTTGCTAATAATAAATCAAGCTGCTATAACCATTTGTGTACAAGTTTTTGTTTGTTTTTTATTTTTGGAGTTAGGGTCTCACTATGTAGTGAAAGGCCTTGAACTTTCAGTCCTCCTGCCTCTGCCTTCCAAATGCTCAGATTACAGGTGTGTGCCACATTGCCTGGCTGTGTACAAGTTCTTGTGTGTGCATATTTATAAAATTTCTTTTGGTAACCCACTACAAGTGAGATAACTGAGGCTTAACGGTAATGAATGTTTAAAAGAAATTGTCAATTTTCCAGTTGCTCTATCATTTTGCCTTTCAAACAATAGTA